TTTTTTATTTTACATGGAAAATTCACAGCTGGCTAGATGAAAATCAGTTATAACCACTTTGTATTAACAAAACATAAAGTTAAATAAAAACTGACTGATCTGTGGTAAATGTCTGGCACGTTAGAACCTAAAGAAATGAAAAAAATATTTCTCTTATTTTAATACTCCTGAAAATTTTCAAGTTGCTTTTACTGTAACTTTATGATCTACTTCAAAACGGAACAAAGAAAGATTCATAACGGAAAAAATTATTTAAACTCGTTTAATTTGTTCCCGGACAATTTTTGCCAGACTCGGGGGATTTCTCTTAATTACTTTCACAAACAGAACAATTCTATCAATTTTTTTAATGAGCGAGGAAATTAGTTTAAAAAATTCACTAACTTCTGGACTAACTTCTATCCTGAAATTATAAAGCATCAACACCTACAATTTTTGCTAGATTTTTCATAACAAATAAATTAAAATCTCATTTAGGAATATACAGTCTTGTCTAAAAAATAGTAGACACTGTTTCATGTTCTAAAACATATTTTATTTATCTAAAATTTGATAAAAACGACCTGAATTTTCAATGTTTGTGAAAAACATTTTATAAACAGAGGAATCTCAATTTAGCGTTATTTGATATTCTAGTTCTTGTTTCAGTAACTGTTCAATTATCCTTAAAATAGTCCTTAACAATGCTAAAATTCTCGTTCATTAATTTGTGAATATTTTCACGAAGATTTCAATTATGTAAAATACTCATCAACCTTAGTGCTCCGAACATTCGAACCCGGTGTTGTTTTAATACCAGCTTAATGTTACTGTTTTAATAAGAGCTTAATGTAAACTGGCAATTAAACTTGTTGCAAACATTTCACTAGAAAGGCATTTGCAATGATTAAATAATGGAGTTTTTTGTTGTACCTCTGCATTGTTTTATTAACTAAACAAAAAAAACTCAAGTAAAAACGCAAACATAATTAAAACTTGAACAGAAACTCATCTARTTTTCTTGCAAGTCGACGGTGTGGCTAAAAACCACTACATTAATTGAACTTGCAAACTTGTTACCGCGTAACGATTTGTTCCATGTGCAAACTAATTAGTGCGTGAAGAAAACCGGAGCATTTTAATGATATTTAACACAAAAAATGGCGTTTTTAAATTTTAATTTAAATTTATTAAGTTTCCTCGTTATGTTAAAGACAAAACTCGTGTTTTGAATGCTTGATTGATGGCCGGTGTTTCCAGTTTTGACTTCATAGCCTCTCCCCAACAAAGCTTTATTGGAGTTAATAAATGTTTCACGACAAAGCAGACGCAATATTTGTATAATCCATTTAAATAGATTTGACATATTTTGTTTTGTTTATTATGATTCGAGGGGAATGTGCGCGAAAATGTTCAAAGCACAATTAATAAGAAGCTTCTTGGAAGTGCCCTTTGATTTAAACCGCAAGCGAGAAAATTAAATCCCATTCGTTCCGAGTGCTTTTAAAATTTCCATCTCGCAATAATGAAATTGTCAATATAATAAATCGAAGCTTTTATAGACTTGCGCACACATTCCGATTCGAAATTATATTTTTTTAACGTTAGGATTTAGGGCTTTTCAATTTCAAACAAGCAGAAAACTTCGAGGAAGAAAAATAATTGCCGTCATAATTTTAATTGCTTCGGCCAATTATGTCCGCTTTTGTTTAGTTTAGCGCTTTGACGATATCTCAAATTATTTTCTTTTCAACACTTCGTTGAGATAAAACGTGACCGAGGAGCAAACCGGAAACAGCAAAGTGACAGCTTAAGACGATTGAGCGACATTTCGAAATCACTCGGACTTGAGTAATACCGAAAGATAGAAGATTTGGTCGTGGTTTCTGAAATGATTTAGCTTCTGTTGAATCAAGTCGTTGCAGAATCTGTTAATGCTTTCCGTCGTGGTAATTGCAAACTAAAGTTTACAGAAAAAAATTATTTCAGTTTTGAAAAACTCTGATAAAAAGAAATGATTTAACATGCACTCAGCCACATGAAAAATCATCGAAATGCGCGATTCCTGAAAATGTTTTTCAGCAATGAAAGACTCGATCTGGTGTCTATCGAAGGAAACTTGTTATTCTCCCACGAGACGCCATCAATTTTGCGTGAAAAAAATTCTAATGTTTTTGTATTGAACTCATCGGTTGGAATAATTCTCCTTTTGAAGGCGAGAAAGTAATTCATACGATATAAAAGCTCGTTGTGAACTTACAATGTTTTCTTTAAATGACTAGCAATTCCGAGATGGGGAAACAATAGTTTTTGACATAAACAGTAGCAATTTGTGTTATTGAAACGACTGAAACAACAAGATTCAATTTATATTTTTTGATCATTTTTTCAACCCAATTAATTGGTCTAGAATTGCACGAAAAAAAAAACAATAATTTGTTTTTAGAAAAAAAAAGCAATCTCAAGCAGTTGATTACTTTTTTTTAATAATTTATAAAATTCGAACAAGCACCATTTTCAGTAGCAAATTTTTAATGTTTACAATTTTTATTATTTACACTTAAATAATTCCGGCATTTTAAATTTTACATTAAAAGCAACAAATTCAAGCAATTTTTAAGGCAAATAAAATACTAAAACATTTATTAACTCTGAGATTTCTATGCCAAAAGAAAAACATTTTCCCGGCGCATCCACCATTTGTAAACAATTTATAAACCTTTTAGTCTGGTGCATAATGTTAAAAGAAAGAGATTAAAATAATTAAAACATTTCTTAACTAAGATTTCTAATCAAAAATTATGAAATATTTCCCACCGCATCCACCATTTTTGTACAATTTATTTTATTTATTTATTTAACAAATTTGACTTTGCATATTTAGATAAACTTTAGTTTTGAAACAAACACCAAGTAAACAGAAAATATAAAACCAACAAAAAAAATGTTTTTCAAAATTTGTTTGT